GTAAAAACTTAAAATTCATCTTTAAAAAAGAAAGGTAAATATACCATACAGGAAGTTAAAGCAAAGTAATCCCCTTCAGAAACAGGCCCAAACAATGTTAAAACCTAAACTCCCAGTGTGGAGATCCGGCATTACTCCCTCAGTCTAACATAAAAATGCACTGCTCTCCTATAATCCCTTCAAGAAACCAAAACAAAAATAAATTGCAAGAGAATTAGGACATGTGATTAAATGTCTATAGTTCAGGGAACTCCTAGGTATCCCTGCTACCAGTAGGGTTTGGGTATTGCCCTTTTGAATCCATGTACACTGAAATTTAAAATGCTTAGATCTAGGTAGAAAAGCAGCTGCCTCAGGACCACATGGCCTGAGCACAGCTTTCTTGGTGCCCAACAGGGCCCAAGATCAAGATTTGGAGCCCCTCTGCCTGAGAAAAAGTTCAAGGAAAAAAATAGCTTTTAAAATCTTTTTTCCATTTGTCCATGGGACAAGATGCCTTAAGTTCTAAAATGCTCCACCAAAGTGGCCCAGCCGCTTCAGCCAAAGCCCAAATGCCCCCCATAGTAGCTGTAATGCCAAGCAAAGTTCTCCGGATCTCTTCATTCCTAGATACAAGCTATGCTGGAAAACAAACTCGTGAAGGCAGCAGAAGGAACAGGGTGCTATGTTTAACACATAAATCACTGAGTTGTTGCTCTGAAAGCATGTCCTGTCTGGGCATGGCCTTTGACTTCCCATGTACACTGAAATTTAAAATGCTTAGATCTAGGTAGAAAAGCAGCTGCCTCAGGACCACATGGCCTGAGCACAGCTTTCTTGGTGCCCAACAGGGCCCAAGATCAAGATTTGGAGCCCCTCTGCCTGAGAAAAAGTTCAAGGAAAAAAATAGCTTTTAAAATCTTTTTTCCATTTGTCCATGGGACAAGCTGCCTTAAATTCTTTAAGTGCTCTACAGCCACCCACTGCTTTAAATCCCTTGTTTTTGTTTACATTACAGGGCAGGTCAATTTAAATTCTTACCCAATCTGCTCACTTTGAGGCTGAGTTCCTTTTTCTCCTGGGGCACGCCAATTTAAATTCTCACCTAACTGGTTTAGCTTGCGCCTGAGTGCCCTGGGGCGAGATAACAAAACAGATAAGGAAGTTTGTTGTCTTACAAGTTGAATTCAATGTTTGTGTGAAAATCCCTGAATGATAGAACTTTGGGGATTCTTTGTTTCTAGGGGTGTCATTCAAGATCGAAAAGGAAAGGGGTTGAAACACCGATTCCTAGGGGAACATTCCTGGGACCTGAAGGCCTTGGGAAATTCCTCACTAGTCCACAGTGCAAGCCTCCAACACTCAGACTGAAAGTAAAAGGAGGAAAGAGGAGAGACTGCCAATCCTCAAGGGTGGGATGGCCAAGGCAAAGCTGCCACTACCCTCTTGGAGAGAGGGGGTACTTACAAACTCCATGCATTCCAGAAGCCCCATGTTGGGTGCCAGCTGTGGGTCTCTCCCTCCCGAAACAAAGGGAGCAGAAGCAATGAACGGGGTCAGGACGGCCAGTGAGCAT